TACCCGTCACCTAGTTGCAACAATGATCAGCATCCTACACGTTGCACAGATCTTTCCTTCTCCTCTTTTTTTTTTTTTTTTTTTAAACTTTTTTGTTTGTTTGTTTTTTCTTGAGATGGAGTCTTGCTCTGTCACCCAGGCTGGAGTGCAGTGGTACGACCTCAGCCCACTGCAACCTCCTCCTCCTGGGTTCAAGCAATTATCCTATCTCACCTCCTTAGGTGCCTGCCACCATTCCTGGCTAATTTTTTGTATTTTTAGTAGAGAACAGGGTTTCACCATGTTGGCCAGGCTGGTCTCGAACTCCTGACCTCAGCTGATCCGCCCACCTCAGCCTCTCAAAGTGCTGGGATTACAGGCATGTGCCACCACGCCTGGCCTCTTTTTTTAATCTATTATTCAGCTTCATCTTTTACCTTTAGATATGGTGGGAATGGAAAATGGTGCAGCAACTTGGAAAACATTAGTGCCTCAAAATGTGAAACACACATTCTCCACATTCTGGCCAACACTTGTTATTGTCTGTCGTTTTTATTATAGCCACCTCGTGAGTATGAAGTGGTATCTCATTATGGTTTTCCCAATAGCTAATGATGTTGAGCATGTTTTCATGTGCTGACTGGGTATATTTTCTCTGTAGAATGTCTGTTTAAAGACACCACCCAATTTTAATAGAGTTATTTGTCTTTTTATCACTGAGTTTTAAGAGTTTTAATATATTTTGAATATAGGTCCCTTATCAGATATATGATTTGCAAATAATTTCACCCATGTTCAAGTTTTTAGGCAAGAATACTTTATAGGTACTTCCTGTCACATCAGAAAAGATAAAATCGATGGTATACCAGAGAGCAGGGAGGCAGTAGGAATGGTCCTTCCCAGGTGCAAGCAATAGGGGTATATTATCTATAGAGAATTTGAAAATAACTAAAAGCCATACTGCTTTTTATTATTCCCATTTGCTGGCAATTCTAAACAATGTTAGTGATGGAATTCCTTCCCTCCAGGATGGACCACTTCCCCAGCACCACCTTGGTGTACGCTGCTGCCCAAAAGGTCTAGTTGTTCTGCTGTCAGTCATACTCAGCTCAATTGGTGGGTTCTAGGAGTATTGACCTGATCCTTTCGTTACACAGCTCCCCATCAACACATTTTCTAACGGTTGTAGCATCAGCTGACAACCTTGGGCTAAACTGATTACTTAATTTGGGTTAAAAGTGGTAATTTTCTAATTTTATTCATTCTTCATATTAGCTAGAATTATTTTATAAACAAGAATTTTCCCTCGTGAACCATTTGGTTTCTCCGAAATATAATTCTCACAGGAAGTGTTTCTTTAAATGTTAGGGTTATTTTATTTTTGTCTATAACTTGCTGATTTTTTTTCCCAGTTTGTCATTCATCCTTTGAGTTTGCTATGGTGTTTTTCATCAAGCAATAGGTTTCTATTTTTATGTGGTTATATTTATTAATCTTTTATTGCTTCAAGATTTTCATATTTAGAAAAATATTGCCCATTCTCACATTAAAAAGAAATCACCTAATGTTCTATGGCTTCATCTTTTATATTTAGGTCTCTAAATAGTTTATAATCTATTCTAGTACCTGAGGAACAGGTCCAACTTTGTTTTTTCCTTATGGCTGCCAAGGTGTTCCAAACACTATTTTTTCCCTTTTTAAATAGATTTTATATTTTAGAGTGGTTTTAGGTTGACAGCAAAATTGAGCAGAAAGTACAGAGAGTTCCCATTACCTCCTACCTCCTCATGTGCACAGCCTCCCCTATTATCACCATCCTGCACTAGAGTGGTACATTTGTTACAATTCATGAACCTACCTTGACACATTATCACCCGAAGTCCATAGTTTATATTAGCGTTCACTCTGTTTTGTACATTCTATGAGTTTTGACAAATGTATATTGACACATGATCTATCATGATACTGTTACCAAGCTAGCAATGGGCTTGCTGCCCAAAAAGCATAGACGCCAATACTATGCCACCAGCTTTTGTGAAAAGAAAGAGTTTATTGCAGTTTGACGGCAAGGAGACAGGAGGCAATGCTCAAATCTCTCTCTCGAGCTGGGGACTGGGGCCGGATTCATAGCAGCGGGTAATGAGGCGTGATCTGATTGGATCTTACAATGCAGTGTTGCCGGGAGACATGATAGGACTGGATCATGCCATGAGGTGTGTAGTTCTTAATTTGGTCCCTGTTCCTTGGTCCAATCACTTAGGTTCCACCCATGGTTGCACGCTTGGTTCATCTGGGCATGATCAAGTTATATAACTTGCAACCTGGGTTCCATGATAACTGAAAAACAACTCACCATTGTATTATGTAAAGTTGAACCAGACTGGGCTGATTCTTCAGTTACCACAGTATATTCAGAAGAGTTTCACTGCCCTAAAAGTTCTTTGTGTTCTGCCTATTTATCCCTTCATCCCTCCCTCCCCTGTATACTGTGGCAACCACTAATTTTTTAGCATCTTTGTAGTTTTACCTTTTCCAGAGTGTCATATAATTGAAACCATACAGTATATGGTCTTTTCTGATTGGCTTCTTTTACTTAATGATATATATTTACTTTTCTTCCATGTCTTTTCATGATGTGGTAGTTCATTTCTTTTTAGCACTGAAAATATCCATTGTTTGGATGTACCACAGTTTGTTTACCCATTCACCTGCTAAAGGACATCTATGTTGCTGCCAAGTTTTGACAATTATGAATAAAGCTGCTATAAATATCCATGTGCAGGTTTCTGTGTGGACATAAGTTTTCAGCTCATTTAGGCAAATATCAACGAATATAATTGCTGGTTATATGGTAATAATATGCTTAGTTTTGTAAGAAATTGCCAAACTGTCTTTCAAAATAGCTGTATCATTTTGCATTTCCACCAGCAATTAACAAGAGTTCTTATCACTCCACAGACTAGCCAGCATTTGGCATCAAACACCATTTATTTTAAAAGTTCATCTTTCCTGCTATTGATATAAGACCTTGTCTTTGTTATACACTACATTTTTGTATTCATTATATGTGTCTGTTTCAAGATTTTCTGTTTTGTCATTTGTCAGTCAACTCATACACAGGTACTATACTGTTTTAATTACAGAGCCTTTATAGATTGTTTTAATATCTAGGAGAGCTACTCTTTGCACTCTGCTTTTCTGTTTCCATTTTCCTGGTCATTCCTGCTGGATTATTCTTCCATGAGAACTTTAAAATCAAGGTGTCTAACTCCGGATTAAACACACACACACACACACCGTGGTCTTTTTATTGGAACTAAGTTGAATTTATAAACTAAGGGATAACTGCTATCTTTAGGATTGAGTTTTCTTTTCCAAGAACATGGAATATGGTTCTATTTTTTAAAGTCTGCCTTTTTAATCTTACAGATCAGGTCTTTTTTCTCTCTTCATTTTTATATGTTGTATGTTTCTTGTTGAGTTTATGCCTTGTTATTTTTATTGTTTATAAATAGAGTCCTCTACTCCATCATATTTTTCAACCGGTCATTGTATATGCAAAGGTTATTGATTTGGTATTGAATTTTATATAATGCAGCTTTACTAAAATGTCTTATTTGTAGTCATTTTAAAATTACTTCCCTTTGAATTTTTTAGATATGTATAATCTGCAAATATGATTAGTTTTAGCTCTTCCATTCCAGCTCTTGTGCCTTTTAAAATCTTGTCTAACTGCATTAGTTCATGTGTTCAATATGATGTTAAATGGTAGTGGTAATTATCCTGACTCTATTGGGAATGCCATTAAGTAAGAATCTTTTGAGTGTGTACACACAAATATGATGAATAAGCTATTTCAGCATGTTCTGTCTTTAAAGAAAGGATAATGACACATAGCATGTCTGGAGAGCCGGCCTATATATAGTTACCTTGAATAAATCTGGATTTCTCAATGATGAAGTACAGGGCAATATAGATGTCTAAAGGACAAGTCTGAAGCATCTTTTAATTTCTGCTGTATTGGGTGTTGAGTGTTTTATTTTTTAAATCATGGATGAGTGTTAGATTTTTGTCAAATACGTTTTCAGCATCTGAAAATGATAATATGATTTTTCTCTTTACATCTATTAATATGATCAGTTGTATTACTTGATTCCTTAATATTGAGCCACCCTTGTGTTTGGTCCTAATGTATTATTTTTAATATGCTTTCAGATTCCACTTGCTAATATTTATGATGTTTGTATCTATATTCATAAGACAGATTGGTCAGTCATGTTCTTTTTGTTAATTGCTTTTTTTTTTTTTTACATTATTAAAATTATGTCCTAACATATCAAAGACCATCAAATAGTCCCTCTCATGCTGTGAGATGCCAAGTCTACAGCCCAGGTCTACAATTGGCCTTTACATTTATATTTGTCCTTCTGCCCCTTGAGTTATAAACCTGCATCTCTGAATGTGCAGCATCCCAAAGTGCCGCGAATCAATAGAAGACATCCTTTCTCTTTCCATAGCTGTGGGTCCAGGGCTTCAACTTCTAGATGATATGTTTCCAGCTGAAAACCCATTTAACCCAGAGTAATGCTTTCCACAGCAAGAGTGGTTCATGTGAAGCTTTTCGTTAATACTATCTCTTTCCTCCTGCACAAGAGGAGAAAAAGAGGAGTCAATACTATCTCTTTCCTTCTGCATATCCCCAGAATTACTTGCAACCCTACAGTGGTGGCATTAATTTTATCTTATGGAGACGTTATGACATGTTTTAAATGTTTCATTACTTTGTTTAACGTATAAGTAAGTAAACTTTGGCAGCAATATTAGGGTAAGAAGAAAGGGCTCAAACATGCAAAGAAAAGTGAAAGCTCATTATTTTAATGTAGATGCCTGTGTGGATTTTAAACCATTTCCTAATTTAGTGGTCCTGTTAGATGTGCTTAAAATTAGACCAAATGCATGCTTTTAATAAAACTGTTGCTTCCGTTCAAACTAGACTTTTATTTCCTATTTGTCTCTTACAGAGGACATAAAGATAAGATATTTGTGGTAAAGTGTAACCCACACCATGTTGACAAACTGGTTACAGTTGGGATAAAGCACATCAAGTTCTGGCAACAAGCAGGTACTGTCCTTTGGGTTTATCATTTATGTGACTGAGAGCTTGACCCTAGCTGGAAAGAAAAACAAAACGAAACTACTGCTACTACCTGGCTTGTCTCTGCAATCTAAAATAAAAATGCGCCTAAAAAAGTTTACTCCCAAACTCACTTAGAACGCTTTGAAGCTTAGAACACTCTATATGATGCTATGCATATTCATCAATACCTAGAAAGCTTTGGAAAATGTTCTGCTGTGAAAATAATCATTTTTATATTTAGTCGTCTGTTCTGAAAGCAGTAATTATGTTAGACTACTGCACAGGAAATAAAATGATCATTTTGGTTGAGTGAATAAAATTGTATCTATTTGGAGGGTTCCTTTATTTATCTATTACTGAATTTAAACCTGAATTAAACCCTGAGTCTGCCCACAAATAGGTGGTCCAATAAATATTGGTGGATTTAATGTTGATAATAATGATAAATAAGCATGAGAAAACATAAAGGATACCTTAGTCTTCTCACTAATAAGTCAGACTTAATACAATTGAATCTGAATTCTTCATATCAGCTTTGGTACCAAGCCCAATTTTATTATGCAGAAATTGTGAATAAGGTTCTGTTTCAGTGCATTTTGCTTTTAAAAGAAGGTAATGCCACCCAATATGTCTGGAAAGCCAGCCTGTGCATAACTGTCATGAATAAAGCTGGGTTTCTCAGTGACAGGAAGTGTGGGGAAATGTGAATGTATAAGGGGCAAATCTAATGACTTGTCCCGTATACTACATTTTCCTACAAAACAATTCATTTTTCTCACCCCACATATAACATGTTATATGTGCTGTGATAAGCAGAGCACATATAACATGTTTATATTTTACATTTATAGTCAGTACTATTTTTATTGTTTTTGGTCAGCATTCATGAAGACTTTGCTTGCTTCTCTAGGCACTTAGTCACTCTTTCTCTTGGTTGACACAGAACTTGTACTGAGCCTCAGTTAGACGCGTGTCTTGGAGTGAGATGCATATTGAGTCCTCCCTCCAGCCAGACTCTGAGTTCCTTGAATGCAGGAACCCTCTTTTCATCTTCATATCCCAGCAGTGAGCACTGCACCTGCCACATGTAGGGGTTCAGTGAATGCTGAGTTAATGAATGAATGAGAAATACTCTTACAATATTTTTGCTTGTGATGTTCTCTGCCACTTTTAGACATCTTTACATAAATACCTAATGAGAAACACCAGATTTCTCACGGAAGTAGTCATTCTATATGCTCATAGGAAGTGCCAGATTTTTTAAATAATAACTGTTCTTGATCCACTCTAGGTGGGGGCTTCACTTCTAAAAGAGGAACTTTTGGAAGCATTGGAAAATTGGAAACAATGATGTGTGTTTCTTATGGACGAATGGAAGATCTAGTGTTCTCAGGAGCAGCTACTGGAGATATTTTTATTTGGAAAGACATTCTACTACTGAAGACAGTGAAAGCTCATGATGGGCCTGTGTTTGCTATGTATGCATTGGATAAGGTATGGCCTGCGTTTCAGCATTCATTTTCCACATCAGCCTTCTAAAATTATAAGGTAGTCTTAGGATGGCCCACCAAGAGGATGCCTGTATCTAAAACAGGCCTTTCTGAATTAGGAAGTAGTTGTCATGAAGCTCCGTCAAGAGACAATAGGGAGGAAAGCAAAGATATTTTTATAATTTCATTTATAGTTGTTTCTTTACGTGCAGCTTCTCTCCACTTTTTCCACACATTCTCTTTCTGGCCTCCACTCATAAGAGTCCCTTAAGAAGTGCCAGGATAAATGTGGACACTTAGCAGCAGAAGAGTCCTGAGAAATACTTCAGCATTGTCTTCCTCCTTGGTGACACAACGGGCAGAGACCTAAAAGTACCAGGTGGTTACATTATTGTTCCAGACATCGATTTGCTATGACAGAAGTTTACATCCATAACCAGCTTGCTCCTGTATAGAAAGGCTCAGCTTTCACAAGAGTGTTAGAGTGAAGACTGTTCATTGGCCATATTTCCACTCAAGCTCATCATGATTGCCCTGGTCTGTCTACTTGCCTTTCAGTGTCCCTTTACAAAGATTACACTTACCTCTGTCTTAGTCTGTTTTTGCTGCTGTAACAGAATTTCTGAGACTAGGTGCTTTATAATGAACAGAAGTTTATTGGCTCACAGTTCTGGAGGCTGGGAAGTCCAAGATTAAGGGGCTGCAACAGGGAAGGGCCTTCTTGCTGTGTTACCCAATGGCTGAAGGGCCAATAAGAGTGGGAGGGGCCAAAATCACCCTTCTATAATGAACCCACTCCTACAATAACGGCATTAACCCATTCATGAGGGCAGATCCCTCATGGTCTAGTCACCTCTGAAAGTTCCTACATCTTAATACTGTTACAGAGGCAGTTAAATTTCAACATGAGTTTTGGAGGCTACTAACATTTAAACCATAGCACCTTCAGTGTTTTAAAACACTTTATTCAATCAACTTGCCAGCAAATATCAACTTCTTTTCAGTTACTTCCAGTTTGCTGGTGGTACCACTTCATCTGTGCCCTCTGACCTCCAGTTTAAGCCATCTACTACTCCTAACCCACGCCTCAATTTTCATTTACCTGTCCTTAGGCAAATGTGTTGATTCTACTACAAAAGTAGGTTCTTGTTAGATATGCAACTACAATGGTTGTTTTAGTGGCTAAGCTGTTTTTTGTTTTTTTGTTTGTGTTTTTATTTTACTGGCAAATATGTTTTTGGTTAGACTGGCAAGTACTAGAAAAGATTAAAGAAGAAGAAAGAATTTCTGTAGGCCCAGAAGTAAATATGGTGTAACTTGTTTAAGCTATTGTTGTTTGGTAAATTAAGCTGCAAAATCATGAGAAAAGACAAGGATATCACAATATAATGTACCACATTTAAATTTAATTTGGTGATTGAATTTTCCTGGGTACGAATTCTATATAAGGATAAGGATGTTTAATATTACACACTTCAAAATATTATTTCTTTGTAAACTTTGTAAAAATGCATTAAATTAAAAGTTGCTGGGGAAGCAATGAATTACTCAGCTTTTTTCTTTAAAAAAAAAAAAAACCCTCTAAGAACAGTTGGCATATATAATAAATTACCAGAAAGGAAAACTAGTACAGCCAAAAAATTATAAGCTTAGAACAGGAATAAAGATCACTGTTCAGTAAAAAAATCCAATATGTTAAGCTTTTTACTTTCCAGGTTTTTGTAAAAATTAATCTGGATTTTAATTATGGTAATTATGTCTATTGAATGAAATAGGATAGTTTCATTGTATGAAGTACCTAAGTTACTCTTAATAAATAGTGATGTTTTCTTCTGGACATGACTTTTATTTTTAAATGTCTAACAATAATTTTAAACTGTGATGTTAACTTCAATCCATTTGGTCAGAGTATGTGAGATACCAGAAACTCTGCTAGGTTTTGAGGTTGGTTCCATTCTGTAGGAACCACATTCTGGTTGGGAGACTGGGCACAGGCACAGTCATGCTTGATCAGTGGGCCAGCTGCCAACCAGTGTTCTGAAGAGAGTGCAATGGATACATGATGAGAAAGTGCTTAATCTTGCTAGGGGAGTGTTGGAGAAATGCTCCCAGAAAATAGTATTCAAACATTGTTATCAGCAGAGTTTTCCATCTCATATATTTAGGAAGGTAACATCCACAAAGCTGCCTTACTCACGGGGGAATCCTTCTGGGGCCAAGTGGGTAATTGGTCATTTTGATGTGTATATAACACCTACCATGTGTGCCTTCACAGGGCTTTGTAACGGGTGGAAAGGATGGCATCGTGGAGCTCTGGGATGATATGTTTGAAAGATGCTTGAAGACTTATGCCATTAAAAGATCAGCATTGTCAACTAGCTCAAAAGGTGCCACTCCTAAACATGTAATAGAAATCTTTGTGTTCATAGGGATGGAGAAGTTTTTAGAAAACTATTAGCCAATCAATTTTCTCCCTCTTCCATGTTTCGAACTCTCTTCTCCTGGTAGAAATGTCAAGGCTGACTGCCTAGTACCTCGTTCTTTGGAGCTATACAAATTGAATTTATACTGAGAAGCAGTGTTTTTGTTATTTTATTAAATATGCCATCCTCTTCCCAGGCTTGCTTTTGGAAGATAACCCTTCAATTCGTGCCATCACGTTGGGACATGGACATATCCTGGTGGGAACAAAAAATGGAGAGATTCTGGAAATTGATAAGAGCGGCCCAATGACACTACTTGTTCAGGTACTGTTTGTACCTATTCTAAACTGCAGCTCACATCAGGGCTGGGACTAGGGTGAGGCAAAGTTGATGCTTAGGTTCCAAAACTTAAGGAGGCACTCACTCTCAGGGTTGCACAAGAGTTGAACTAGTTACCTATTGCTGTGTAACAAATTGCCACAAATTTAGCAGCTTAAAACAACACATGTTTATTGTCTCACAGTGTCTGTGGATCAAGAATCTGAGCACAGCTTAACTGGATCCTCTGCTTAGTGTTTTATAAGGTTGCAGTAAAGACCAGGATTATGGTCTCATCTGAGGCTAAACTGGGGAAGATTCTTCCAAGCTCACTCATGCTGTTGGCAGAATTTAATTGCTTGTAAGTGTAGGACTAAGGGCTTTTCTTTTTTCTTTCTTGCTGGCTGTTGGCTAGAGGCCACTCTCAACTCCTAGAGGCTGCCCACAGTTCCTTGCCACATAGGGTTTCCCAACATTGCTGCTTTCTCAAAGCCAAAAACAGAGGAAAAAAATAGACACTACACTCTTATGTTACATAATTATGTAATCACATATGTGGAATCATGAACATTCAATCACCTTTGCCATATTCTGTTGGCTAGAAACAAGCCACAGGTCATACCACACTCAAAGGGAGGTGATTATGCAAGAATGTGAAAACCAGGAGGAGTATGAGGGTCACCATCACTGGCCACCCTCTGGCCACCAGTTATTCATGCCCCTACCACATACAGAATTCTTTACCTCCACCCCCAAGGTCCCCAAGAGCCTTATCACGTTACAGGATCTGCTCAAAGTCCAGAATCTCATTTTCTAAATTGGGTCCAGGTGTGGAAGAGATGCCTTAGGTATAAGTCCTGTCAATCTGTCCATCCATAAAATGAACAAGACAAGTTACCTACTCCCCACATGCCAGATGCACCAGTGCCCCTTTGGAATATGGGCCTCACTGTAGTCTCAGCCTTGATCCACATAAACACATTACATCCTCCTTAATCCCTGTCTTCCCTCAAAAGTCATATTTAGGTAAAATTGAACTAAAATAAATGTAACAGAACCCTTTAGGAGCCAAGAAATAATAAAATCTCACCTCAGGGATGAGGATGTGGTAGAGTGTGGAGGTGCATAGGTAGTCCTGCCCAGTATGGTGATGGATAAGACCATATTTAGTTGGAAGAGGCATGGTGGGGGGTGAAGGATGTGTGTTCAGAAGTTGGAGGGAAAAGAAAATGCCCTGATCATATGAGCAGTCAGAACTTCCAAGATGCCAGTGCAGGAGCTTCCCTTCCTTGCCCTGATCTCTGGGTGATGCCTGCAGGCTTGCTGTATTAGGAGTGAATCCCCAAATCCCACTGAGAGGGTCCCTCTGACTTAGTGTATCATGGAAACACATGCGCATATACACTATGGCTCAGGACACTGCAAGGCTTTAAAAACACATGTGCCCAAGTCCTATCCTGGATATCCTGAATAAATCTGCTTTTTAAAAAGAAAAAATCTATGTGAAAAACAAACCTCGAAAGCTCTGCAGCTGGTCGTGCCTGGCAGCCAGGCTGGGGAATGAGGCTGGAGATACATCCTTGAGGCATGATGTCTTTGTTCTCCAGCTGTCTTGCTTTTGTTGTTTTCTTCCAAACGAAATCTTTTTTTTCTGGCCATAACTTCTCATCTAATTTTACTGAAAAATATTTATTTACTTTTTAATCTCCAAATGTTTGAGAATGTAAATTGTATCCATGTATGCTACATTGCTTGATATTTTGGAAGATTTATGCTCTGATATGATTTAAATAATACTGTAAGATCTAAACTTTGTTTTCTTTCTTGCTGTGTTACACTTGAGGTAGTTTGGTTTAAATATGTTTTATGCTTGATAAAGGCTTTCCACTTCTTAATTCTCTACAATTCTATTCTTTCCTATGTTTCTTTCTATTGCTCTAGTAAGAAAAATAACCACAGCAATCATATATTCAGCACCTACTCTGTGTCAGGCAATGCCGTTGTACTAAATTTGTCTCATCTCCACAACAGGTTGGCTGTGTTAAATTGTTTTATAGATGAGGGACCTAATGCCCGGAAAATTACCCACAGTCACCTGCTGAGAACTGCAGGGCTGGGATTCCATCCAAGGTTTACCAGAGCCCTTTTTCACCTCACCAGGCTGTTCCCCACGTCTCTTAACCTGGACACTGCAGGAAAGCCCCTGAGCTGTGGGGTGGCTGGTTGAGCTGGTGGAAGCTTCAGACCAGATGTTAGTTACCATCTTTGCCACCTACATGTGTACCATTCTCTCCCTTTTTTTCTCAGTATCTTTTTTTCCTCTTCTGCTCTCTCATTTGCTATTTCCTCTTAGGTGGAACTCAGTATTTCAGTTCAGTCCATGTTTGTTGGGCTCTTGCCCAGGTCTGCTCTGTGCTGTGTGTATGCGCAGTGGAATAAGGGCTTCCTGCCTGCCCAGGACCGTCTCACTGTCCTGTTCTGAGAGACGATAGAGGCACCAAGGGAAAGTGAAGGAACTATGGAGGCAGTGTGAGTGAGACGATGGACTGTCCTGCTGGGAGAAGATTTTAGAACCACTGTGCCAGTTTCGGTGGCATGGCAATCCAATCACAGTTGGAATAGATTGCTTATTTTTAATAAGGTTGGGGGAGGGGAGAATGGCAGGTGATGGGTTGTGGCACTTCCCGTCATGTGTGCTTTGAAGCAGTCAGCTCGCAGTTGAACAGCTGTTTATGATCAGCTTTATGGGTGATCAGCACCAAAGCAGGATCCTAAGCCCATTTCCTTGTGCCATTCAAGGTCCTCCAAGCCTGCCTTGCTTACTCTCTGATCCTGTGTTACACGGGGATTAAAATAAACAGATTAAGGAAATATAATTTTGATATCAATATAAGGCAGTGGTTTAAAAGGATCTCTGGGTCCCACGATCCTGTTCTTAACTAAAATACACAAAGGGGCTCAGTCTGTGGAAGAGCTTCAAGCAGAGTCAGTCTGGGAAGATGTGAGGTTGACCCCTGACCTGTACCCTGACTGTGACTCTGGGGCTGGGAGGCTTCTGAAGAGAAGACTGGAAAACTGGGGATGTAGGGTGTCCTCAAATCCAATAAATTCAAAAACAATGTCTGTACCCTTCAGCCTCTCATTTTCTCATATTTGAATGTCAGCTGTATTTGGAACTTTACATCTTCTGCCAAATTTACTGTTTTGCTCAAATAGCTTCTCAGTTAAATTGGAATCATCCAATTTCTCTTTGGAAAGCCACCTGTTCCCCCTTAGCATTCCAGCTACAAACACCTCTCAGATGCCTGTGTGTGGGCTTCCTTTTTGCTTTACTAAGCAAAGCCTTTTTATAATTAGCCATTAAAAAGCAAAAATTCAGTAAATAGTTAATCTGGTCTGTTTTATTGCTCTGTAGCACTAATCTTTACCCTGCATTATTGAGTGAAAAATTATGAGAATCAAATTCATTTTCTCCCTGTTAAGTGTTCATTTTTAAAAAAATACTGCTTTATCTTAGTTATTATTCTAAGTCAGCCAAGTGTGTTTGTGATGAGATAAAGGTATATGGAATTGGTCCAGTGCTTATTAAGCACCTTTCAGTTTTGGATGTTCATTGTTAGCACATGGACAGGCCAATTTGTGAACAGATGCAGAACCTTAGCTACACCGAGGACACTTGAAATGAAAATTTAGCTTCCTTTATTTCTGCTCTGCCGAATGCTACATGTTCAAAGGTCTAAAATTATGTAAATAATGAGAATATTGCTCTTCAATTCCACTGACACGAATGGGTCAGACCTGCATCTTTTATAATTTAACTGAAGGAAATGGTTTGTGTCCTTGTGATTCAGCTGCTTTACTAGGAGGATACATATATACTATGTTTATTTAGTATCCACAGAAAAGCAGGCGTTTGACCGTTTACCTGGATGTTTCCAAATGGAAAGATGTTTGGCATCATACAAACAAAACCAATCAGCCACAAGTTCATGTTTTGCTTTGCAAATGAATGATTTAGCATCGTGTAGGTCCAGCTCTTGTTTCAAGTTTAAATGGAAAAATTATTTCGGGTGATCATGTTGGTTCAAGGAAGCTCAAAGTGTGTTTATTCCTGTTTATACCTTTTTGTGACACTCTTGGACTGAATATTCAGCACCGGGCTAAAGAAGGGCTAGCCAGACAGCATAAGTAGAGTTGATGTTGCCCCTTTTCCTCTCCCACAGGGGCACATGGAAGGAGAAGTGTGGGGGTTGGCAGCTCACCCTCTCCTGCCCATCTGTGCAACAGTGAGCGATGATAAAACACTTCGCATCTGGGAACTGTCTGCCCAGCACCGTATGCTGGCAGTACGGAAACTCAAAAAAGGTACGTAAGGCCACCTTAGACATCTGTCAGAGTACTTACAAGTAACAATGTGTCAGGTTTATTCACTCATGTAATTAGTATTTACTGAGGGCCCCTGTTATATGCCCAAAAATATGCTGGGCAATGGGAATTTTATATTGGTTGCTACAGTCTTAACTAAGCACATGTAGAATTATTCAGAAGGCTAGCCTAATCCAGTTACATTTTTCACTTCATTTTCCTTGCACTGCACAGATATTTGCCACCTGGGGGCAATATGTCCTTCTTCTTCTCATCGAGAGCTGTGGGAGTCAATTGAAACTCATCAGCTTTTAAAGAATGCTGTTTATTTTGTAACTAAATGTCTCCAGAACTTACTTTATGACTTGAAAACAAACATCAATTATATAGAAATGTAATACTTAAGAAATGGGTAAATATGTCTTGAACACCTAAATGCACTAGAACTATGAGGTGTACTGAGAGGTACAAATTCAGCAAACATTTATTAAGTAGCTTCTGTGTGGCAGGCACAGGGGATCCCATGATGATTGGTCCCATCTCTAGTGTCAGAGATAGATAGGACTTGAACAGAGTCCCAGCAACATATCCATTCAAATTTGGTAATTTGAGGAGAGTCTTTAAAATGGGACTATTTATAAAGGGATGGGGAAGGTGTGAGGGAATGACCCGGGATAGTGCAGCACTACGCAGCTAGTAATGGCAGCCTCTCTCACTAGCCCTGGCGTGAAGGGGCAGGAGGAGGGGACAACTGCTGCAACCCTGAATACGAGAGCCACTTGAGATGGCAGCCTGAGAGAAGCCACCACTGTTAGCCAGGGGACTCTGCCAGCATTCAGTGCCCCTGCGGGAGGCAGCCAAGGAAATAAATGGCGCAGCCTCCCTATTCTTCCTCCATCTCTCTAATCTCCCACCCATGCTCCCCCTTGGCCAAACTCAACCAGAAACCAGAGGACAAGGGAGCCCACTGACATTCTCCGTGCAGGCCAGCTTCAGGCACAGAGCAGGGTGGACGAGGGCAAAGAGGGGATGTGGAAGGACAGACTGGAGATATTTGGCACAAAGTACCCTGGAGCCTCAGAGGAGATCTACAGCCTGGAACTGCTTCATCAGGGAGGTGACGAGAGCTGAGGCTTAAAGGATCTGTAAAAGTTCTTAAGAGGAAAGGATGAAATTGGGGCCTGGCCCTAAAATATTTGTACTGAGTAATTTTATAAGCACACATGAGGATTGTATTCTAGGGTAATAAAATGAAGAAAGCTGTCAAAACAGTATTAACAATAGTGAGGGTGGCTAATATGCCTGGGCCAGCAACTATGCCAGCTCTTTCCATGTAGTCTTTGTAGGAATCCATGAGTAAGGTTATTATTATTGCCACTTACAAATCAGAAAGCTGAGGCACAGGGAGCTTAATTAGTTTGCACATTTAGTAGGTAATGGAACCAAATTCAATCCCATGCAGTGTGACTCTGAGAACACACCTGTGACCACTGCTTAACACTATCTCCCTCTGCCGTGTTGCCTCTCTTTACACTAGACTCCTGGGAGTTGTACATGGTGGAGGAAAGAGTTCCCAAATCCAAGTCCAAAGCCCATGCTCTTCATCACTACAGGCTAGAATCATTTTGGCCACTAGTTCATATTGGGGGAATGATAGGCCAAATCCTCACTGTGGAGGACTTGAATGTCAGTCAATGGACTTTATTCCCTAAGTTAAAAATTAGTTAAAAAGAACAACTGTTGACCCGTCTTAGATAGGATAACCATTCAACCTAGTTTACCCCTGTTGTTCTGGTATAATTATTAATAGCTTTCCTCTTCACTCTCAAACGTGTCTTGGTCTGTACGGTAGATTGTGGTTAACCTAATCTTGATGCTCTTCAAGGGCAGGCTTGTCTTTTCATTGTTGCAGTACTGGCACATCAGTTTTGGGTGAGAACATAGCTTTCAGCATACCATGAACAGAGGAGTTGGTAAAGAGGCTCGGTATTAAATGCCCTGGCACAAGGCCACCTGGCTGTCCTATCCCTGGGGCTGTGCTTACAACTCTTGACAATAAGAATGGTGGCAGAGGGTAGGCATATTCTTAATCGGTTTCCTTTTAGACATACCTTTGCAAAGTCCATGCTCCTGATTCAGAAATGTCTTTGTGACCCTACAAAGCAGTAGAAAACATGGTTCATGCAGTACCATCACCCTAGTGCCAATTAGTTTTCCAGATACCCCTCAAGAGAATGTTCAGATTCCATTCTTCCCATGACAGAAGAGGCAAGAGCAATATCTTTCACCTCTAGAGTTATGCATTACAATCCCTGAATCAGAGAATTGGAGCAACTAAACGAACGAGGTCCTCTAAAGTAAGTTGTATGTAAGGCATAATATTTTTTAAAGAAAGTTCTCTGAAAATTTTATTATAGAACTCCTATTCTTAAATATTACCTCTTTTCTTGGAAGCAAAGATACTGGTCCTATTAACCCTACACTATACTCCTTTTCTCCATTTACTTCACTTATTTTTTGAAAACCCCAGGTATTTAAATACTCATAAATGAATGAATAGACCTCATAGAAGCTGAAAATGTATTTTTGATATTATGATCATTTTCTTTGAATTTGGGGAGAAGAGATGTTTAATTTTATTTTCTTGAGACAGGATCTCCCTCTGTCATCCAGGCTGGAGTGCCATGGCGTGATCACTGCTCACCACACCCTCCGCCTCCAAAGCTCAAGCAATCCTTCCACCTTGTCTCCTGAGTAGTTGGAACTACAGGCATGTACCACTATGCCTGGCTAAGTTTTATATTTTTTTGTAGAGATGGGATTTTGCTATGTTGCCCAGGCTGGTCTTGAACTCCAGGGCTCAAGCAATCCACCTGCCTTGGCCTCCCGAGATGCTGGGATTACAGGCATGAGCCACTGCACCCAGCTTATTTCTGTATTTTTTGTAGAGCCTGGGTTTTACCTCTATAAAAAATAACTTTTCAACTAATCTTTAACCTAGGGAATGTTGCAAACCCAGGCTAGTCTTGAACTCCTGGGCTCAAGAGATCCGCCTGCCTCGACCTTCCAAACTGCTGGGATTACAGGCACGAGTCACTGTACACAGCCAAGAGATGCCTTAAATTATGAAGTTTTAGTTTTCACAAGTGTAGTGTCAATTTAAAGGCAGTCACATGTCCGTGCATAATGCACATGATCAGGTTTCTTCATCTCTTCATGTGGTTTGCTTGACAGTGAAGTTTTGGATAATAAGTGTTTTTTGTGGATTCTTCTGTAGGTGGAAGATGCTGTGCCTTTTCCCCTGATGGGAAAGCCTTAGCAGTTGGCTTGAATGATGGGAGTTTCCTGGTTGTAAATGCTGACACTGTTGAAGACATGGTCTCTTTCCATCACAGAAAAGAAATGATCTCTGATATTAAGTTTTCAAAAGGTGAAGATGACAGCAGATACTTTTTAAAATAACACAGTCTTGGGACAAAAAATTACAAGAATGAACTATTTAAATGTTTCTTTGACCATTTCCCCACTTTTAAAATACTAAGTTCCTGGAAGTAAATTCCTATATAAGATACTTTGGTGTTAACCCCACATTTTTCTTTATAGATACGGGAAAATACCTTGCCGTGGCATCCCATGATAACTTTGTGGATATTTACAATGTACTTACAAGCAAAAGGGTTGGCATCTGTAAAGGTGCTTCGAGTTATATTACACACATTGACTGGGACTCTAGAGGTAAAGTATGTTGTGGCTTTTAAAATAGAATTTCTGTGTTTAAATAATGTCCATTTATGCATCGTTTCTAGAGAGAATGGCAGTTGAGTATTAGAAATGGGAAAGGGGAACGACTGTAATTTTACAACCCAGAGGCAGCTGCTGCTAACATTTTGAATATTTTCCATCTTTTTATGCTTAAGATTATTATTGTCACTATTGATTCAAGCCATTGAGTTTTGAGATGGTTAAAGATACATGATGCCTTTTGTTATCATAGCAAGCCACCACCTCACCTTTAGTTGGGCGTGCTTTCTCCTTGTCTTGGGTCTTCTTTCTCCTTGTCTTGAGGTCTCCTCCTTCTCCTCCTGGCTTGTTTCCCTTTTCCACCCAAGACTCCACCTCTTAGAGAACCACCCAAAAAACCTCAAGCAATTTTCCTCCTCCAGCAGAGGTAGAAATCTACATTCAGCCTGCCTAAAGTTTCTCTGCTCTATAAAACTCCCAGCCTACTCCCACCTCCTCCAAGTCATGCCCACAAATGCCATCAGGATTTGTCTTTTTAATAAATCTAGCTTTTATGGTGTTGCAAAGTCTTAAGCTAGCAAATGTGGAGGCTCTGGAAGTGAGTAAGACATGGTTTCTGCTCCCTGTGGAGTTTATAATTGAGTGAGGGAGACATACTCATCCATAAATAATACAAGAGCACAAAGTGGGTATGGTGTGAGTAAGCAGTGGTGAGTCACAGGGGAAGTGGTGAGCAGGGACTCAGAACGGGCCACGGCAGCATTCAGTACCCAGGATGGAACATTGCACTGTAGGGTGAGTCACTGTAAATCCTATCCTCGAGACTCGGCTGGTGTTAAGAGTCTGGAGCAGGCACTTGGGAATGGGCAGCATTCCCGCCTTCAGAGACATTGTAATCCACTGTGGTAGAAAAGCACCATGCCCAATGTATGCCCTGAGGAAAAGCTCCTTGGAGGTAATCCACGGAGCCTCCATAGAAGGAGGTAACCTTTGAGGTTGATCTTGAGAGTCGAGGAGAAATCCACCAGATAGCGCAATCAAGGAAGAGCCATTCCAGGCAAGAAGGAATACGGCATATGAAGAGCAAAGGTGGGAAGAACCAGGGGGTGATGAAGAAATAGAAGTGCTGAGTGGCTGAGGGTGTACAGGGAGGGGAATGTGGAGACGCAGGCTGGGATGGAGTAGAAGTTTCATGCTGAACTGTGTACTTGTAGGTACTAGGTAACTCTGAGGGATCTAGAGTGGAGCATTCCCTCCCATCTTGGGGAGAAGACATGAGCCTGGAGTGGGGGCAGTTAAAATTAATCAGGAGAACGATGATGAAGGCCTCAGCCAAAAAGGGATTTCAGAGATGCCAGAACATTTTTTTTTTCAAGTAATTCTTGGAGTAGTGGCCTTAGACCAGGACTTGGAAACCCTTCTGCCCAACAGGTATTTAGTTGTAATTATACTTGCCATACTGGAATTTGGACTTTATTTCAGCTTTACAGCATTCAGGGGTTTTATACAGTGCAGTAGATAGAGAAGAAAGCATGCGATGCACTGCATTTATACAAGGTAGTACAAGTCCCAACAAGGGCAAAGGGAGATCAGATAAGTCCATTTGGCTTTCATGTCAGGGCAGTGACAGCCGGACACAGTGCCGAGGGCTTCGACCAGCATTTAAGACCAGGCAGGACACTATGACTTATGTAGGAACTGGTGAGGCCAATGAAAGCAGTTGCTTCTCAGACTCTTTGATATTCTCTGCTTTTTTTTTTTTAAAGCAGTGATTTCTCCCTATTTATTATCTTGCTATTCTCTTGCCAGGTAGAATAGGGTGTGATTAACTTTATTTAGAATCCAACACACACACACACAAATACACACAAAATACCTGATACAATATGTGAAATCCCATTACCCAGTGACTATTAGGGGTTAAAACCCATTATTGTTTCTATTAGGCAGTGAAGAGTCCAGAGAAAAGAGGGTATATAAAGAGTAAATTTTGACTGGGAAGATTTCTTAATTATTTTGAATTGTAAAATACACATAACAAAAATTTACCATTTTAACCTTTTTTTTTTTTTTTTGGAGACAGAGTCTTGCTCTGTCTCCCAGGCTGGAGTACAGTGGCGTGATCTTGGCTCACTGCAAGCTCCGCCTCCCGGGTTCATGCCATTCTCCTGCCTCAGCCTCCCTAGAAGCTGGGACTACAGGTGCCCACCCACACGCCGGTAATTTTTTGTACTTTTAGTAGAGACGGGGTTTCACCATGTTAGCCAGGATGGTCTTGATCTCCTGACCTCATGATCCACCCGCCTCGGCCTCCCAAAGTGCTGGGATTACAGGTGTGAGCCACCGCACCCAGCTCCTTTTTAACCATTTTTTAAGTGTACAGTTCAAGGATGTTAAAAACATTGACGCTGTTATGCAACCATCACTGCCTCTGTCTCACAACTCTTTTTGTCTTGTAAAACTGCAGCTCTATTCCCATTAAATGATAACTTTTCATTTCCCCAACCCCTGGCATCTACCATTCTACTTTCTGCCTCTATGAATGTAACCACTCTAGGTACCTCATATAAGTGGAATCATACAGTATTTGTCTCTCTATAATGGGCTTATTCCACTTAGCATAATGTCATCAAGATTCCTCCATGTTGTGGTGTGTGTCAGAATTTCCTTCCTTTAAAGACTGAATGTTTCATTTTGTGTATAGTCCATATTTTGCTTATCTATCTGTTGAGGGGCACCTGTGTGGCTGCCACATTTCAGCCATTGTGAATGATGCTGCTATGAACATGAATGTACAAATATATCTTCAAAACCCTGCTTTCAAGTCTTTGAGGTATATACCCAAGGGTGTAATTGCTGAATCATATGGTAGTTCTATTTTTAACCTTTTGAGGAATTACTATACTGTTTTCCATAGCAGCTCTACCATTTTATATTCCCACCAGTTGTACACAAGGGTTCAAATCTCTCCACATCCTTGCCAAACCTTATTTTATGTGTTTATTTTGATAGTAGCTGTCCTAATGGATGTGAAGTGTATCTCATTGTGGGTTTCATTTGCATTTAAGGAGTTTGTTCTTAATTCTGCAAACGTATAGGCCCTGTGTCAGATGCTAGGGGTATAAAGAGAAGTAAGTCCCAGATAGAAAGCACAAGATCTCAGCCAGGATCGGGGAGTGCTGCTGTGGAGGGACCTGGGGAAAGGTCTGTGTAAAGTCTCTCAATATGGAGCCATCACTTGGTGGAAAGAGAAGCAAACCTCCCTATTTCCATAATCCTGCACAAGGCCAGCCTCCTAAAGCTCAGGAGGCTGAGGGAGGGCACTGGGAGTGAGCAGGAGAGGAGTGGAGTCAAAGGTCTTTGAAAAGCTACCTTGCCTTTCATCATAAGGGTGCCTTCAGTCAGGTGAAAGGATTGGACCAAGTGCTTTCTGTGGATTGAGAGTAGTAGAAACACTTCTGATTTTTAGGGAGGAATTATACCATCTGGAGAATAAGAGAAAGTATGCCTGTGAATCTTGCCTGATCTAACTCCACTAGCCATGAGACATGTGTCATCCTGATATTCCTGCATTCCTGACATCCCAGTCCCCAAAATGCCTGATCTCGGGAATATGCCATGCTGCCTCAAGACCAGCCTGGCTTTCACAGCAGGGGCCTCCAGGGTCTGGCAAGGTTGACAGCAGAAATTAGAAGCAGGGATCTGTTTCATGCCTTTGATCCTGTTGAAAATAGTGAAAGCATTTGCCAGAGCCAACTGGCTTCTCAGCGGCAGGGATGGCACAGCCGCCAGCCTCAGCAGCCTCTTGTGCCCATGGCAACTATAGGTCCTTGGAAAACCAAAAAGTGCATTGGGCTTTTGCAGGAACATCAGCTACCCCTGAATGAAAGCTCCAGCATGGAATACTTGAGAAAGAAAAAATGTATGGAGGGAGAGAAAACATAGAAAGGATATTTTCTAAATGCTGTAAGTTCATTTCTAGAAATAACAGGCTGTAACATCCTTTACAAATTAACAATTTGAAGGCTGGGCGTGGTGGCTCACACCTGTATTCCCAGCACTTTGGGAGGCTGAGGTGGGTAACCTGAGGTCAGGAGTTTGAGACCAGCCTGGCCAACATGGTGAAACCCCATCTCTACTAAAAATACAAAAATCAGCCAGGTGTCGTGGCGGGTGCCTGTAATCCCAGCTTCTTGGGAGGCCGAGGCAGGAGAATCGCTTGAACTGGGAGACAGAGGTGGCAGTGAGCCGAGATCGCACCACTGCACTCCAGCCTGGGTAACAGAGTGAGACTCTGTCTCAAAAAATAATAATAAATAAAATAAAAATGACAATTTGAGCCATAATAGCACATTTCATTCCCATTTTTATTGCAAATGGCCTGATATTTGGTACATTTAGTACCAATTGTTGGAATTAGTCTAACTTGTAAATTATATAGCAGCCGGGGTGATGTATGTGGATCACTTTGTGGGCTGCAAAGCTCTATGGTACCTGCAAGATGTGTGATGTAAGGACATGGGTGTCTCAGCTTTTAATCTGTGCGAACAGATATTTCCAGTGAATAAAAATGTGATTCTGAAAGAATAGGATTACTGTTTTTGTAGAGCAATTATAAATGCATTAAACAGAGTTTTTGTTCTTGATTCTGCTCCTCGCCCTCAGAATATTTCAGTGGTGATAGAGAGAGAGACAGCAGGCAGAGAGAAAAAGGAGCGGTGACCTAAATATTTCCTTATGCTTAAAAAATGTGTATTAGCAGCAGTAAAGAAAATTTTGGTTTTAAAAAAAATACTCTTAATCATTCCTTCCTCATAGAAGAATAGCTTTTTGGTTTGGTTTTTTCTTCTTCACATCCTTGATTGCAAAGAACAGAAACCCACCAACCAGCTTAAACACTCTTTTTTTTTTTTGAGACAGGATCCCACTCCGTCACCCAGGTTGGAGTGCTGTGGCACAATCTCAGATCACTGCAATCTGTGCCTCCTGGGCTCAAGAGACCCTCTCACATCAGCTTCCCAAGCAGCTGAGGCCACAGGCGCCCGCCACTATGCCCGGCTAATGTTTTTTTTTCTGTATTTTTAGTAAATATGGGCTTTCACTATGTTGCCCAGGCTAGAAACCGGCTTAAATTTTAAAATAATAATAAAAGATGAGTTTATTGGAAAGATACGGAGATACTTTATAGAATCCAAGAGCAGGAAACAGTCTGCCAAGGAACTAACTTTAGGAATGAACTAGAAAACGCACAGGAACCAAGCAAGCAGTTCCTCTCCACTCGTCTCCCACTCTTAGGCAGCGAGTTTCAGTATCCACTGCTCTTCTGCGTCTTACCTCTGCCTATGACCCCTCTCTCTGCACAAGTGGCCTTTCTCTACCTCATCTGCACATGGCCAGTCTCAGCTGCCCCAAAATGCCACCCACAGGCCCAAAGTCCACATCTCATCCCGGTAGGCACCAGCTGATTCAGCCTCTTGGATTCCAATTTCCCAAGAGAATTTGATTACCCCGCTCGGTGTGAGCCTGGCCCCTCCATGGTCAATGTCTGCCCCCAGAGTACAAACATGACCACGGAGGCAGTTCTCAGGGAAGGGGCATGGGCTACATGGGGACCCTACGAGCTGTCTGCAACGCTATCCAGCACTTCTGGTACTTGTCTATGTGTTTAGATTCTCAACTATTTTTGCAATCATAAATTACCTCACTGAGAGATTTTTCTCGTTTTTGGTTTTAAGTGAAGTACGATCTTTGAAACTATGGTGTAAAGTAAGTTGTTGGGATTTATCTGAGGATTACAGTCCTTTGAGTTATTTTAGTATCTCATGGCCAAACATAACCTAAAATTAGCTGTATTCAAAGAATGTGTTCACTGAATACTTTAACTGTTTGTCCACATGCTTTGTCATTTGCAGTCACTCTTGAGTGTCCCAAAAGTAGAATTACTTTACAGTATTGGTTACTCATTTTCTTATAATTCTAAATAGCCAAAGATAACTCCCTTTTTTCTTTTCTCACTTACATATATTCAGCCATAAAGTCAGAAGATGTGCCCATTTCAGAGTACACATTTTCAGATACATTTGCTCCAAGTCAAGGAAAAATCCCCTAATGTTATCATTCACCAAATTAGAAATGATTACAGTTGTCATTTAGAAATGAGAGAACCTTATTTTTAGTCATATAGAAGTAGATCTACAACTTCTTAAGATTAGCCAAGCTAGGCTGGGCATGGTGGCTCACTCCCATAATCCTAGCACTTTGGGAGGCCAAGGTGGGCGGATCACCTGAGGTCAGGAGGTCAAGACCACCCTGGCCAACATGATGAATCCCTGTCTCTACTAAAAATACAACAATTAGCCAAGTGTGGTGGTGGGTGCCTGTAATCCCAGCTACTCGGAAGGCTGAGGCAAGAGAATTGCTTGAACTCAAGAGGCGGAGGTTGCAGTGAGCTGAGATTACACCACTGCACTCCAGTCTGGGAAACAGAGCAAGACACCATCTCAAAAAAAAAAAAAAAAAAAAAAAAGATTAGCCAAGCTAGATTTCAGATCAAGTTGGTGCCTATTTAAGTGCTAAAGAACATGATTAAACCGAAAAGTTCTTATTTTGGTATTATTTTTCTAAGAAAGATATTTCAAGACTACTAGATATGCCATAGTTATGGGGAAGAAACAAAAGGAGAAATATTATGTATATTTATACTGAATTATTCATAGGTGAAATATTATGATGTCTGAAATTTGCTTCAAAATAACCTAGGGTGGAGGCATCCAGGGGTTCTTTGTACTCTTCTATATGTGTTTGAAACTTTCCATAATATTTTTAAAATGCCAAAAATGCTGAAACATATATACCTTGAGTCATTTACATTTTAAGCCTTACAAGATTGTTGCCATTGTAGGAGGAGAATTAGGAAATCTAACCTTTTTCAACATCAAATCCAAGATTATAATTGTGCATCAGACTGAAAGACTATTTTTGCCCAACATTTTCTTTGGGGAAAGTCCTGGATTTCTTGTCAAATTTTCAAGTAGGACCAGAGGGTGGGGAAGGAATGAGCATTTATAGTTTATTTTGTGTGTTCTGTTTCTGGGCTTTAAAGGCAAACTTAGAATTCAGGCCGAAGTAAATGTGAATGCCCACAATAAGCGATTTACTTCTAATTGCCATAACCTTCCAATGCCATATTCTTGCCAACGCAGTTTGCTGGGAGGCAACTGGGAAAAAGAGGGGGAAAACTGATTTTTCTCAGGCTTTGGAAAACTATGTTTTCAGTGCAGCAGAATAGAACATATCAAACTTTATTCTTCTGTTATTTGAATGATGTTCAAGGTCAAATTTTATGAAGTCCATATTCTGAAAATCACAGCTTTGGGGTTTGTACCACATCATGTAATTGGCGGTACATGCCCTTCTGAATAATTCAAAATGTATTTACTCAATTTATGAGACTTTGATTAAAATGAATCAAAATAGCAGCACCCATGCTTCTCATTTTATAATAAAGAGTTAAAGTCAGAGTTTAATTGTCTCTCTACTTCATTCTTTCGTAACAGGAAAATTATTGCAAGTTAATTCAGGTGCCAAAGAACAACTTTTTTTTGAAGCTCCAAGAGGCAAACGGCATATAATAAGACCTTCAGAGGTAACAATCATACACAAAGATTTTTTAAGATATTTTGTGAAGATTTAATATGTGCATTTTAATAAAACCTATCACGTTAACTACTAATATGTATTATATTTAGTATACCTTTAAACTTGATCATGTCTTAAATCCGATTGCTTAATCTGGTTTCCAGGTTCCCGGAACATAGGGACTTATCACACCGCTGGTGGAGCAATGTACAGTTGATGCTCTGCTTAATTTTTCTCTGCCTGAAGACAATGAATAAGCTAACAATTTGGATGTTATATATTCCTTTTTCCATTTGACATGTCATTTTGTGCAAAGCTTTTTATGAACATACATTTTGAAACATGTTTTCTCAATGTTTATTTGTAATTATGAACATTATTATCTATAACAACAGATTTTTTTTTTTTTTTTTTTTTTTTTTGAGGTGGAGTGTTGCTCTTTTGCCCAGGCTGGAGTGCAGTGGCGCCATCTTGGCTAACTGCAACCTCTCCCTCCCAGGTTAATGAGATTCTCCCACCACAGCCTCCCGAGTAGCTGGGATTATAGGCATCTGCCACACACCCAGCTAATTTTTTAATTTTATTCTTTTAGTAGAGATGGGGTTTCCCCATGTTGGCCAGGCTGATCTCAAACTCCTAACCTCAGGTGATCTGCCCACATCGGCCTCCCAACATGCTGGGAGCAGATGTGAGCCACCGTACCCAGCCTGGAAATTATTTTTTTGAGACGAAAACAATCTGCAATCTGACCATTGTATTGTATCAAACTGTTTTCTTTTTTCTATGTTTCCTCATGTCCTTAGCTACATACATCATTTTTTAATTGCTGAAATCAAAGCCTAGATAAAATTTTTGAATTCCTAAACTAACACCCTCTTGAAAGCTAGATAGATGCCTTTTGTAGACGTGTACCTCTTTCACGGTGTACACATAACGAGCCCTGGTCTAAGTGTTGACGAGGATGAAGAAATATTGCTTCCTTAGAGGAAAAGGAGGTAAGGGTATGCTACTGAGTGGCAGGCATCTGTCTCTCCCTCGTTTCAGTTTGCCAGTATCTTAAACCGTCCCAGTATTGTAAGGTTCTCCCAAAGACATTTGGACACGTGTACATTTGCATTTTCATTGTTTGTAAAGGAAGTATATGTGTAGCACTTTAAAAATATACATTGTCATAGATCATGGCATTGTATTAATGGAAATTGTTCACTGAGAAATTTTGATCTCACTCCCCTCCCCAGTTCCAATTTATTTGTCTCTGATCAGTCCTCTTTTTAACTTTTTTATATAGAGGAGCTTTTATGGCCTTGAGTAAGACATATTTTTAATTATGTCATTTATTCACTGGTCATTTGTTGACTGCCAGATACTTTATATATCTTTATTTTTTATTTTAATTTCAGCTTTTATTTTAGATTCGGGGAGTTACATGTGTAGGTTTATTACATGGGTCTATTGTATGACACTGAGGATTGGCATACAAATGATGGCATCACCCAGGTAGTAAGCACAGTTCCCAGGAGATAGTGTTTTAGCCTTTGCCTCCTCCTCTCTCTGCCCCCCAGTAGTCCCCAATGTCTATTGTTTCCACCTTCCTGTCCGTGTGTAGCCAATGCTTTGTTCCCACTTATGAGAACATGTGGTATTTGGTATTTTGTTCCTGTATTAATTCTCTTAATATAATGGCCTCTAGCTACATCCATGTTGCTGCAAAGAACAAGATTTCATTATTTTTTATGGCTGCATAGTATTCCATGGTGTATACGTACCACATTTCCTTTATCAGTTGGTCACTGTTGGGCATCTTGGTTGATTCCATATCTTTGCTATTGTGAATAGTGCTGCAATGAACGTATGAGTACATGTGTCTTTTTGGTAGAACAATTCATTTTCCTTTGGGTATGTACCCAGTAACGGTATTACTGAGTAGAATCGTAGTTCTTTAAGTTATTTGAGAAATCTCCAAACTGCTTTCCACAGAGGCTAAACTAATTTACATTCCCACCAGCAGTGAATAAGCATTCCCTTTACTCTTCAGTCTTACCAGATTCTGTTATTTTTTTTTACTTTTAATAATAGACATTCTGAATGGTGTGAGATGGCATCTTGTGGCTTTGATTAGCATTTCTCCAATGATTGGTGATAAACATTTTTTCATGTTTGTTGGCTACTTGTATGTCTTCTTTTGAGAAGCATCTGTTCATATCTTTTGCTCACTTTTTTTTTTTTAAGACCCTTTTTTAAGGGTCTTGCTGTATCACCCAGGCTGGAGTGTAGTGGCACCATCACGGCTCACTGTAGCCTCGATTTTCTGGGCTTAAGTGATCCTCCTGCCTCAGCCTCCCGAGTAGGTGAGACCGTAGATGCACACCACCATGCCCAGGTAATTTTTGTATAATAGTTTTAGTAGAGCCAGGGTTTTGCCGTGTTGCTCAGGCTGGTCTCCAACTCCTGTTGCCCAGTTTTTAATGGGGTTGTTTTTTTACCTGTTGACTTCAGTTCCTTTTAGATTCTGGATATTAGACCCTTTTCAGATGCATAGGTTGCAGATGTTTTCTCCCATTCTGTAGGTTGGCTTTTTTCTCCGTCAATGTTTTCTTTTGCTATGTGGAAGCCCTTTAGTTAATTAAACTTGTCAAGTCTCACTTGTCAGTTTTTGTTTTTGTTACAATTGCTTTTGAGGACTTAGTCATAAATTCTTTCCCAAGGCCAATGTCCAGCATGGTATTTCCTAGGTTTTCTTCTAGGATTCTTGTAATTTGAGGTGTTACATTTAAATCTCTAATCCGTCTTGAGTTAATTTTTGTATATGGTGAAATGGGGGGGGGTGCAGTTTCATTCTTCTGCATATGACTAGCCAGTTGTCCCAGCACCATTTATTTAACAGAGAGTCCTTTCCCCATTGCTTATTTTTGTTGACTTTGTCGAAGATCAGATGGTTACAGCTGTGCAGCTTTATTTCTGGATTCTGTATTCCATTGGCCTGTATGTCTTTTTATACCAGTACCAGTCTGTTTTGGTTACTGTAGCCTTGTAGTGTAGTTTGAAGTCCAGTAAAATGATACCTCTGGCTTTGTTCTTTTTGCTTAGAAATGCTTTGGCCCAGGCTCTTTTTTGGCTCCATGCAAATTTCAGAATATATACACCTATATTTTAATCCTCATAACAGTTTTACCTTAATAGTTGTCAATCTAGTTTTACAGATAAGGAAACTAAGGCTCTGTGAGGGCTGTGATCTCAACCCAGAGACATCTGTGTGTGACTCCGTGGCCTAAACCATGAAGCCTCTCAGTTTCTCCTGTGGATTTAAACATCATTTCACATCACTTCAGCTGTACTTTCCCTTCCTGTTTTAATGCCCCCAAATAAGTATACTAAAATGAAATGTAATTTAACAAAATGGTAGAGGAAGATGAGGCTGGCTTGGAACAGATGAGCAATTATTATATAAAAGAATATGCACAAGAGGAAAATTAATGTTATAATGCTCCCCAAAGTGATAGGCGCTTGCTCTGAAGAGTTAATTTGTTACCCCATGGTGCACATTTGTTACTCCAGAGGCTGATTCGTGATGATGTTGGTTGCAAGTCCCTCCAGCTGATGCTTTCTTGGCCAACTTCCCTAGTGGTGCCAAGGCCCTTCGACTGAGCGTGAGGGATTTTGGAAAATCTTTTTCAAATAAGCAATTTTTTTTTTTAAAGAAACAATCATGGCAAACTAATACAAAGCTTACCCAGCAAATTGTTAAAATATGACAAATGTTAAAATGCCTATTTCAAATCCATCTGATACAAACGGTACAGTTAAAGCAGCACCACATTGGGAGGCAAAGTCTCTGGAGCAAACCTCCTGCTTCGGCTTCCTAAGTATACTGTGACTGCAGTGATGTAACCTCTCTGTGGGCCTCAGTTGCTTCCTTTGCAAAATGATAACATACCTACCTGAGGCAAGGTGCTGAGGAAGGGATCCTTTGAGGACTCTCCTTCTATCTTAGTTCCAGCATTTTTAACAAGTTTATTTAACCCTTTTGCATTGATAGATTATAGATATAATTCTTTTTTTTTTTTTTTGAGACGGAGTCTCGCTCTGTTGCCCAGGCTGGAGTGCAGTGGCCGGATCTCGGCTCACTGCAAGCTCCACTTCCCGGGTTCCCGCCATTCTCCTGCCTCAGCCTCCCGAGTAGCTGGGACTACAGGCGCCCGCCACCTCGCCCGGCTAGTTTTTTGTATTTTTTAGTAGAGACGGGGTTTCACCGTGTTAGCCAGGATGGTCTCAATCTCCTGACCTCGTGATCCGCCCGTCTCGGCCTCCCAAAGTGCTGAGATTACAGGCTTGAGCCACCGCGCCCGGCCAGATATAATTCTTAATGCTCCATTTTAAGTGCAGTTTCTGTAGCTTCCAGCAAGTTAGACGTTTGCTTCCCCTGGAGAGTACGGTGTCCTGATCTGGCCAGTGGTGTTGTGTTGCGGTGTCTGCCAGGGGAGCAATACCAGCTCCCTTTCCTTTCCTGCTGGGATAAGGAGGCCAGCATCACTGTGGGGATTGCAAGTGGACTAGGAGATGGAATCTAGAATTTGGAAGGGAGTCAATGGCCAAAAGCCTGCTTCCAGAACCAGCAAGGGATGGTTCCCTGCTTCTCTTCCTGTGAAGGTTAGGTTAGAACATCATAAGGGGTTGAGGGACTCTACTTCTAAAACTGAGATGATTTCTGGGGGAACCACCTTGAGTCACCTCAGTCTGTGTTCCTACCTGAGGCCCCCAAGTCACAGGACCAGATGCAGATTTTTGGTTCCACTTCTGTGTGCCTCCAAAAGAAACACACAAGATTAAATAAGGAGAAATTTGAGTGACTAACAAATGTATGGCATCTTACCATGTTGTGACTAAAACTCCTGGCTGCATCTTTATCTTGTAATTTCTCTTCTAAGCAATAACAACAAGCAGAGATTAGGCAAGGTACATTAGCAGCATGCAAAGCAGTTTCAGATTGAAAAGGAGAGCTCTGGGCTTTAATTTTAGCTACAGTTCTCTAATTTCTTATACTCCTTCTGAACAGTGCTTTGTCTAAAGAAAGTGGAATATTAAGGTGTAATAGCAGATCTTGAATGAAAGTAAATGAGACAAAATCTCCCAGGAAAGCCATAATGTTGTTATTGTCTATTACTGTTTTAAGTAAATGGAAAGAAAATCCTCAATCTTATCGGGATTAACCTATAAAAATTACAAATATTCTAGCCAAGAATTTCAGACAAAACAGTTTTAAAGGATAAAAGATTCATGGCAATACAATATGAACAGCTCTTTGGATTTTTACAGTAGTCTCTCGAGAGCATACAGGATATTAAGCTTGCTGCAGAATCTTATTACTTTTTCCTCCAAGGAAGCAGTCATTTTTTTTAAGTTCTGTCTAGTAACTTCTTAAAATAATTTGCTAAATGATCATCTCCATTGATCAGCCTAGCTTAGTGATTCTCAACTGGGAGCAATTTTGCTTCCCAGGAACATTTGGCAATGCCTGGGGACAAGGGTATGCTACTGGCATCCACTGGGTGGAGACCAGGGATGCTCTAAACATCATGACATGCACAGCACAGTCCCAACAACAGAATTTTCAAGCCTAAGACATCAGTGCTGGGGTTGGGGAATCTGGATCCAGCTTATGGCTTATACAGTGATAAATGTCTAGTTAAGAACTAAAATACCTTATTATTGTCAAATTTCCACAATTTCAAAATGTTCATTTTATCTAGAGAAAAACACTTGGATATTTGACTGCAGTGTTGGTTTCTTAATGCAAATAACCACTTTAAATATGCAACTTAGAATTTGTGTACCTCAGCACTCAACAAAAATGCCTATTGTTGTCAAAGTAATTTAGAATTACTCAGGTGCAAACTGTTTCTTTTAAATAAAACAAACTAGGTTGTGCAAAAATATAATTCCCTTTCGTTCTTTTTCAGATTGAGAAGATACAGTGGGACACATGGACCTGTGTCCTGGGGCCCACCTGTGAGGGAATCTGGCCAGCACATAGCGATATAACTGACGTAAATGCTGCCAGTCTTACCAAAGACTGTTCCCTTTTAGCCACTGGAGATGATTTTGGTTTTGTTAAGCTTTTCTCATATCCCGTCAAGGTAATATTGCATGTTTATTGTCTTTACTTGCTCAGCCTCATTAATAACCTTAAATCACCTTAAATCTGTCTATTGTATCTAAGTGCATTTTTTAAAATTTGAAGTCATAAGCAGTTCATATTATCGGAGTATTATTTATGCTGTATAAAAACCTCCCTGACATTGTGTTTGAGTGACTAATTTCAGTGCAGTTCTCACGGCATAGAATTCTACCTTGAAAGGCCTTTAGTGGTCACCAAATCCAACATCTCACAAACTGCAAAGTAAGTGTTAACTTTACAACCTCTCAGACCAGTGCCTTTCTGACTTTTATTAGGATACTTCCACAGATGAGGAACTTAATACCACACAGCAGCCCAACTGATTTTTAAATACCTCCAATTATTAAAACGTTTTCCTCTGTGTTGAGCTGAATTCTTTACTTTCCTCTTTTTTTTTTTTTGTACAGTGGCATGATCTCAGCTGACTGCAACCTCCGCCTCCCGGATTCAGGCAATTCCCTGCTTCAGCCTTGCGAGCAGCTGGGATTACAGGCACCTGCCACCATGCCACACTAATTTTTGTATTTTTAGTAGAGACAGGGTTTCACCATCTTGACCAGGCTGGTTTTGAACTCCTGACCTTGTGATCCACCAGCCTTGGCATCCCAAAGTGCTGAGATTACAGGCGTGAGCCACTGTGCCTGGCCTCTTTTCTTTTTAAATACAGTTCTACCTTCTGAACCATCATTAAACAATTCCATTCCTCTAACAGCCATCATCTTTAGTAAGATCACATTTGACCCCCTGAAGGCTCACTTTTTTTCCAGCCTAACATTTCTAGTTCCTTCAGCCGTTTCCCATATTCCATGGCTTACAGCTGTCCGCTCCCTTTAAGCACACTGCAGTTTATCAATTCTTCCTTCAACTGTCTAATCTAGAACTGTATTCAATGTTTCAGTTGTAATCTGATCAGGTCAGAGCACAGTGGGACTGCTACCTTCTTGGTTTTGATGTTTACATTTATATTAAATCAAACAAAAATGACGTTGGCCCTTTTGCCTGCCACACTACAAAAACTGAATTCATAGATGTCAGTCTCAAAAATGTTCAGATTATCCCCCAGCCTATACTTACACAATTGATGTTCTAAGATCTGAATACAGAACTTTACATTCATACCCAAAAATTTTTATTTATTTCTTCTAAGTGTTCCGTCCTATCTGTATCTTTGAATACCTTGTCAAAGCATTTTCTCTCCCTTGCAGCATCATGTCATCCTCTGCTTTCACAATCCTGAGTTCTAAATCATAGAAAAAAAGAGAGACTGGAACAATCAAACGTCAACTCCGGGAACCTCCCCGTCAATTCAATTTTACATTCCATTTATTTATTTATTTTAACTAAAGAGTGAATGAATGACAGGGTTTTGCTCTGTTTCCCAAGCTGGAGTGCAATGGCACAATCACTGTTCACTGCAGCCTCTACCTTCTAGACTCAAGCGATCAATCCACCTCAGCCTCCCCAGTAGCTGGGATTATGTGCATACCACCATGCCCAACTATTTTTTTTACTTTTTGTAGAGATGGGGTCTCACTGTATTGCCCAGGCTGGTCCCAAACTCCTGGACTCAAAAAATCCTCCCACCTGGGCCTCCCAAAATATTGGAATTACAAGCATGAGCCACCACACCCAGCTGACATTCTGTTTGTTAATCTACACATTGTAATAGTTCTTTAATCAGTAACAAATATTTAAATTTACCTCCCTGTACAGCCGTTTATCCTAGTCCAAGAAGACATCATTAAATACTTGGCTAATGTCTTGCCTAAAGACAAGTGGATTTGGTCTCTGTCATCCTTAATCTCTCCTAATAAGTCAACCTATAAAATATGTGAGGTTAGTTCACAGTGTACCTGTTACTGTCTGGTTATCACTACTTCTTTTTCCAAATGCTTATTGAACTCCTGTGTAATATTTCATCCTAGAATTTTCAAGGGATTACATCACCTCATGAATCAATATTTGCCAGAACCTATTTGTTTTCCCATTGGGATACAAGAACCACTTTATGTTTGATGCCACCTCTCCTGATTTCTAAACTTTTCAGCTATTACTGTATTGTTTTTGTGGTCACATTTGAAGGTACCTGTACTCACGTAACTGAGTTGTTTTCTCCTTCGCGGTTTGAAGAACATTCTCTTTGACGGAGGAAATGAGAAATTGACTTTCAGTTCATGTGAAGCCATCTGATTAAGAAGTGTTCCTAACTTTTCTCTATTTTGCTTCTATCCCTAAATATATCTTTCACATCCTTTTCAAAAGTCTTATTTTTTGTCTTCATTCCAGAAACTACACTTAAAAGTCTGTGCGAGGCTTTTGTATTCATCCTCAATTGTTTGCTCCTCCTGTCATTTGTACATTTTAACCTGAACATATCAGTTACCTCTATGGCCACTTTGGTTACTTTGGACGCTTTTCCTCTCTTCTTCCTTTGTTAATACCTGATTAGATTATCGTCAGCCCTTTCTAAAATACACATCTGATTATGTCCAGTGTTACCTTCATTGCCCATCCCAAAGCCACCTGCCACCCTTCTGCCAATGATCTGTCACTTACCAGCCCTTCTTATTTAATCAGAATTTAGTTCTAAGTAGCCATTTTCCTTGCTATTTCTACGTATAAATGAAATTGCTAGCAGTACAAGGCAAAAAGTTAGTGATACCCTGGTTTTAGTAGACCGAGGTTTTGGAGTATCTGTTTAGATAACTAAAACCCCCACAGTACTATTGCACCTTGCTAGTACTTTCCCTGCCTGACAAGGTGGCTTGTCTATATATCACCATCATTTCAAGTTGTGTTCCTCAGACCAGAGTTCCAGGGAGGTATATCTCAAGTGGCCAGGAAGGAACCTGTGCAAAAGCTCTGGAATCCTATTCCTGTTTCAACAGAGTTACACTGTTTTGTATTTTGCACATTCAGCTTCTGTGTATGCTTTTTTCCTAAGATTTTACTGTGAAGATTTTCAAGCATACACATAAGGCAAGAGAATAATATAGTGAACTCACAGAAACCCACAGCCTAAATTCTGTAATTTAAAGTAAACTGTAGAATTAAGAAAGAAAAATAAAAACCTCAAATGACCTAACTTTACACTTCAAAAAAACTGGGAAAAGACCAAGCTAAGCTTACTGTTAGCAGAAGGAAGGAAATAATAAAGATTAGAACAGGAATAAATAGGGACCATAAAGAGAATAGAAAAGACCAACAAAACTAAGAGTTGAGTTTTTTTTTTTTGAAAAGATAAAATTGACAAACCTTTAGCGAGACTAGCCAAAAAGAGACTCAAAACTATAAATGAAAGAGACATTATAACCGATACTGTAGAAATACAAAGGATCATAAGAGACTACTTTGAGCAATGACATGCCAACAAATTGGATAACCTAGAAGAAATGATACATTTCTAGAAATATACAACCTACCAAGACTGAATTGCAAAGAAATAGAAAATCTGAACAGATCAATAATGTGCAAGGAGATTGAATCTGTAATCAAGAACCTCCCAGAAAAGCCCAAGACCGTGTGGCTTCATGTGTGAATTCTCCTAAATATTTAAAGAAAAAAATATTGCCAGTCCTTTTTAAACTCTTTCAAAAAAAAAAAAAAATTGAAGAGGAAGGAACACTTCTAAACTCATCTTATAAGGCCAGAAGAATCTTGAGACCAAAACCAGATAAAGACATTACAAGAAAACTACAGGCCAATATGCCTGATGAATATAGGTGCAAAAATCTAAAACAAAATACTACAAACCAGATTCAACAGCACGTTAAAAAGATCATAGGCCATGATCAAGTGGAATTTGTCCCTGGGATGCAAGGATGGTTCAACATATGCAAGTCAGTAAATGTGATATACCACATAAACAGAATAAAGGATAAAAATCATTTTATCATCTCAGTGGATGTGGGAAAAGGATGGACAAAACTCAACATCCTCTCATGATTAAAAACACTCAAATTAGATATAGAAGGAAGGAACTTTCGTAAAAGCCATAAATGAAGAACCCACAACTAACATACTCAATGATGAAAAGCCAAAAGCTTTTCCTTTAAGATCAGGAACAAGTCAAGGAAGTCCTTGCCAGAGAAATTAGGCAAGAAAAAGAGAGAAAAGGCATCCAGATCAGAAAGAAAGAAAGGTAAAATTATCTCTATATACAACATGATCTTATATATAGAAAACCCTAAAGACTCCCCCTCAAGAAAACTGTTAGAATTAATAAAGTCGGTGAAATTGTAGAATACAAAGCTAACATACACTATTCAATTACATTTTTATATACTTAGACTATCTTAAAAAAACTGTGCCATCAAGACGAATAAAATGTTTAGGAATAAATTTAGCCAAGGAGGCAAAAGAACTGTATACTGAAAACTGTAAGACGCTCATGAAATAAATTGAAGAAGACACAAATAAATGGAAAGAGATCCTGTGTTCATGGAGTGGAAGAACTAATATTGTTAAAATGTTCACACTACCCAAAAAATAATCTACAGATTCAATGTAATCCTTATCAAAATTCCAAAGGCATTTTTTTCACAAAAATTGGAAAAACATCCTTAAAATTTATATGTAACCACAGAAGACCTACATAGCCAAAGCAGTCCCAAGAAAGAATAAAACTAGAAGTGTCACACTTTGAAATACAGATTTCAAACTATATTACAAAACTATAGTAATCAAAACAGTATGGTACTGACATAAAAACAGACACATAGACCAATGAAACAGAATAAAGATGCCAGAAATAGATCCATGCATGTTATATAGTCAATCTTTGACAAGGATACCAAAGGTACACAATAAGGAGAAGACAGTCTCTTCAATAAGTGGTGTCAGGGAAACTAGATATCTGCATTCAAAAGAATGAAATTGGATCTTTATCTCACACCATTTAGAAAAATTAAAATGGATTAAAGACTTAAATGTAAGACCTGAAAACATAAAACTAGAAGA